ATATGGAACCAAGACTTTTTTAGATCTACTGATAGGGGCTATAGCAAGCGTGGCAGGCCCAGCTTGGGGCCAGAAAAGCTGTTATTTTCCTTTCAATTTCTCTGTTGACATTCTCACATCTTCTGCTATATTTTCCTTTGCATGCAGCCTAAAGCGCAGCAGGATTTTAAAGAAAAGGAATAGTACTTGTGGTAGGAAGGAGGGAGTGGATCTACAGAAAAGGGAAGAGGCACATTTTTTGGCTTTAATTTCCGAGAAATAAAAATCGACTTGTTCTTCCTTCCTCCCACTTTCTAAGGTAGAGGCTAGTGTGACGACACAGGATCATATGCTAACCGGGTGATAAACTAGGGAACAAAACCTGTTGTCAAGTACTTTGGATTCCTGAAGTCTTCAGAACGGGAAGGCTAATTTTGGTCCCAGAGTCATGATCACTCCCCAGCAGAAAATGCCGTCCAAATATTACGCTGGGTTGGCAGCTGTCTTATCCCCAAGGAGAAGTAGCGGGGAAGAAGGGTGTATCAAAAGAAACTGGGCAGCCCCACTTCATTAGGACAATGGGTGAGACTGGAACATGTATAAAAGGTTTCCATTTAATTCACATTTTTAATTTATAAAACTGCCTCGCATTAAAAAATTAAACGTCATGTTCTCTTTTTTGAATATGATAAAATCGCTTGCATTTCTTATTGCCCAAATTGAAACTAAAAGCAAGGCTTCAAAATAATTGTAAAAGAAAAAGAAAGATTACAATGTATGCTGCTGCAACTGGACAATTAATAAAAGTTAAGGATTTAATCTACGAGCTAGAAATGGTTAAATTATAACTTGAGCCTAAAGAAAGAGTATTTTCATAAATATTAATTTCTACTCTGCCCATTTTTGACTCACTACTTTCAATGACCTAGAGATTCAAAATATGCTTTCTTTCTAGTAAAATGTTTTAGCAAAACCCACAAAACCTATGCCTCCTACACAGAAACCAACAACAAACTATGTGAATTATATATCGGGTACTGTGCCAAACCTCACTTACAGATCATTACAGACACAAATAAAAAAAGCAGGGTGCCGCCACTGCCATTAAGAGATAATCGGGGCTATTTTAAAAATGCCAATCTTAGAGGGGCGCCTGGATGGCTCAGTCAGTTAAGCCTCTGCTTCAGCTCGGGTTATGATCTCACAGTTTGTGGGTTCAAGCCCTGTGTCGGGCTCTGTGCAGAAACTCAGAGCATGGAGCCTATTTCAGATTCTGTGTCTCCCTCACTCTCTGGCCCCCTCCTGTCCCTCACACTCTTGCTCTCTCAAAAATAAATAAATAAAGATGCCAGTCTACAAACAGTGAACCTATTCCATACAGCAAAGTGACACTGGGTATAGGCTTTGGTGCCAGGGACAGAGCTTTGAGTTCTGGCTCTGCCATTCCCTGGCCCTGTGGCCTTAGGCCACTTCTTTAATCTCTCTGTACCTCCATGAAGTCACTTCCAAAATGGACAGATTAAAAGTATGTTATCGCATATGTTACAGGAGGTTTAAAAAGGATGACACATATAAAGGCTTAGCAAAATGCTGAGAACACAGAAGCCTATAAAATGCCAGTTAATCATTCATGCAATTCATTCAATAAATGGCTACAGAACACCTACTTTGTGCCAGACACTGTTCCAGTCACTGGGGAAAACGCAATAAACAAAATAGACAAAAATATCTACAAGTGAATAGTGCTTACAATTATTAATCATTATAGCTAAACCAGTGGGTCTCAATGCCATCCAGGGTACACTTAGCAAAGTCTGGAAACATTTTTGGTTATCACCACCTGGGGAGAAGGGACTGCTATCAGCATTTGGTAGGTAGAGACCAGGGATGCCGATACACCAATGCAGAGAATGGTTCCTCACTATGAAGAACAACTTGGCCCAAAATGTCAACACTGCAGAGGTGGAAAACTCTGCTTTACAGGTTATAAATGGGCTCAGTTAACTTTTTTTTAATTCTCTGTTAGTTCTTAACAAAATACTATGAGGTAGGGAATTATACATATGGATATTTTGTTATTTTATAGTAACCAGTAGTACTTATATTTTATAGAGTGTAGTTATATAATATTTATAGTAATATCTATGTAGTAAAGTTTTACAATATTTGTAAATATTTGTAAGTTATAGAAAATTTAGATACTTTAAAAGATACTTCAGTTGTGGTATGTACATTTAGATTCAGATGTTGGATTTTACAGAACTGACCTAGAGTTTATTAAGTTTATTTTATATCCAATGGCTGCACCCTTGTGCCATCTAGATTTTAAATGATTAATTTCTCCTGATTCTCACATGCTTAAGAAGGTGATCTTTTGTGCCACATTTGCAATGATTCAGAGAACAAAACAAGGGAACCGTGTGGTTACTAGAAACACCAGACCAAGAGACTAGAGATATAAGACCTAGCTTCATCATTTCACTGGTTGTGGCATCTCTGGACAAGTCACTTAGCCTCTCTGGGCACCTGAGGCGACATCACCAAAACACGGGGCAATAATATCTTTCAGATCATGTGTGAAAGCACTATGGAAATCACTATGAGCCACCCACACACCACTGCACATGCACTGAGTGCTCTCTTTTCTCTGACTCATTTCATCCTCATCACAGCCTATGAGGCAGATACGCTGATCACTGCAAGCTGAAGACAAGGAAACACGGGCACAGAAAGGTGGCAGCCTGCTTGAGGTTACAAGGTCAGGAAGTGGCAGAATGAGGGTTCCCACCCAGGCAGTCTGGCTCCAGAGCCCATCCTCTTACCCAGCGAGAACCTCTCTGGCCGAGCTATTGTGTCAAATGGGCCATGCTCTGACATGAGCAGTCTCAGCTGGCCATAGACCATACTACTCTGATTCCTAAAAGTCCCTCTGCTCTCCATGCTGCCATTTTACACCTCAGTCCCACCTAGCAGCCCATTGGTTCATTTAGCAAAGCAGAGAAGGATGAAGTCTCATTTTATTTCTTTTTCAAATTACTTTATTTCTTTTAAGTAGGTAACATGTGTACACAACACATTAAACAGAATATAAAACTCAAAGGCCTGAAAGAGAATACACTGACAATATTTCTTCTTCCTATCCTTGTCTCCCAGCTTTCCAATCCTCTCTACTGAGACAACGAGCATGACCAGTTTCTTGTTTCTTGTATACTATTCCAGAAATGCTCAATACTATATTCTTTTTCTAAAGTGGATATACCAGTTGTAGTAGACAAAACATCCAATTATGCAACTTGATGTTTTTCACTAAACAATATTTTGGAGATCAATCCATATAGAGATTCCTTTATTCTTATTAATGTCTGAAGAGTATCTGTAATTTATTTAATCAATCTTGAACACATGAGTACTTAGTGTATTTCTGACGGTCAACAATATTATAATGACTGTATTATGAATTTACCATTTCTTACATTGTAAAAGTATACTTAGGATAAATTCCTAAAAGTGGAATTACTGAGTCAAAGGGTATGTGCCCTTTACCATTTTACTGAAATAGCTAAATTGTTCTCCCTAGGGGCTATATCACCTTATACTTCCTCCTCAAATGCATAAGATCACCATTGAATTTTACTTTATTTCTATATCATTAAACAGTATATCATAAAAATGTTTTATTTTTGACATTTGTAAAAAATATATATCTCTCATATTTAAAATTTGCATTTATTATGATTAGACTAAGAATATTTTCATGTGTTTCAAGTACCAATTGTATGTCTTTGGTCTATAACTGTTATGTTCATATTCCTGTTCTGTTCAATCTCATTTTTATAGAAAGCTTCTTTTTCTTATGAAATTATAGGGGCTTTTCATGCAAGAAATAAACCCTTTGTAAGTTTCAAGTACTTTTTCCCAGTTTATTATTTATTATTTGACATTGCAGTAATATTTGATTTGAAAATAGTGTTGATTTCCTCAATTCTTTTCTTTCATAGCTTCTGGTTTTATACTTAGAAACATCTCCACTTGGAGAGTATTAAAAAAATATCCATGTTTTCTTTTAGCACATCTGTGGTTATGTTTCCAAGTTTAAAACTTTGAAAGACTACAATTTATTTGGGTGGATATTATGAATTTGGATTCAATTTTCTTATTTCCCAGATTGCTTTCCAGTTGTCACAATAATTTCTGTTGAATAATTTATCCTCTTAGCATTGATCTGGAATGCCAATTTTATTACATACAAAATCCTCATGTTATTTTATTTCTTGACTTTCTGTTGATCTTACAATCAGTCAACAGACCATTTTAATGACTATTGTTATATCACTGTTATATTATTTGATAGAGTTAGTTGCCCTTATTATTTATCTTTTCCAGAATTTTGTTGCCTGTTCTTTAAGAACTGAGAATCACCAAGGGGTAATTTAGTTAGGATTGTGTTGCATGTATAAATTAATTCAGGGAAAACTGATACCTTTAGCATGTTGAATCTTCCCATCCATGGACATTGTATACTTCTGTGTTTGTTTCAAGTCTTTTACCACCCCCACCACTCATCCTACCCCGCTTTTGGCAGATTCCCAATATTTTAAAGTTATTTATTTATTTACTTATTTATTTAGGTCTTCCTTTATTACATTTATTCTTAGAGTTAGGTATGTATTCATATCTGATTAATGTTATCATATACAGGGCTTATTTCTAAACATTGTAGCAAAAACTGTTAGTTATGGTTTTATATAAAAAGCCATTCATTTTTATGTTGGTTTTGGTTATGTTCCCAGTTTTTGAAACCTTAGCAAACTCAGGGTTGAAAACTTCACTAGGACTACAGCCACGTAACATACTTCTTTTTAACTCCTGCTATGAAAGAAATACTAAAATGTTTTAGCCTGAGTATAGAACTTATGAGATTTTTAGAAATCTTTGCTCCATGTTAACTTCATCTTAAATTTTGGGAGTACACAGAGCTTCCATCTTAACAATTTTTATTGAACTAAAAGCACAAGACTTACCTCCTAAATTCATTCCAGCTTGAAGACATTTCTGAAGTCTGCAGGCAGGACAATTCTTTCGTCGAATCTTATCAATGATACAGTCATTTCTTCCAGCACATAAATAGTTGTGTTGCCCTGAATAATAATAAAAAAACTGTTGAAAAAAAAAGACTACTGCACTAATATAAAGTACTAATATGTATAATCAGAATATGAAACTTCATCTTTCCTGCCTTGAAATTTCTTCAAAAAAATAGATGAGAAATATGATTTGCAGATAATATAGGATAGGAATAGTCACTTTAACATAACATAGACATAACACAGTCACTTTAACATAACAGGCTTTATATTACAGATAAGATTAATACGACATTTATTTCTAACTGACCCTCATATATGTAGAGCCATGTTCCCTTACTCTGAAATTTTTGATAGCTGCACAAGCCCTCACAGGCAATGCTGCAATTTTCATTCAGACATCCGAGCAGCAACAAAGTGAATTATTTGAAGGCAGATGTTTAAGCCGCTATGCCTGCCCACCATTTACACATGTGATTTCAGTGGGAAGACTTTCGAATTATACAACTGTAAATGTTTATTTCATACTGTGGACCAAACTGTAACTTTAAACATTCAGATGAGGGAATATGCTTAGAGAGAGGTATCTGCTGGCAAAATGTAAAATTGTAGCCTAGCTCTATTACTCATTTATTTATTCCAAAAATTTACTAAATATCCACGAGTTTTGCCAGGCACTATTAGAAACACTGAGGATCGGGGGTGCCTGGATGGCTTAGTCAGTTAAGTGTCTGACTTCGGCTCAGGTCATGATCTCGCAGTTCGTGAGTTTGAGCCCAGACAGAGCTAGCCGCACAGTGCCCGGAGCCTGCTTTGGATTCTGTGTCTCCCTCTTTCTCTGTTCCTCCCCCTCCCACACTCTGTCTCCCTTTCTCTCAAAAATAAATAAATATTAAAAATTTAAATAAAAAAAAAAAAAACACTGAGGATAGGGGTGCCTAGCTGGCTCAGTCAGAAGATGATGAGACTCTTGATCTTGGGATTATGAGTTTGAGCCCCATCTTGGGTGTAGAACTTACTTAAATAAATAAAACCAAAAAAAAAAAAAAAAAAAAACACCCAACTGAGGACATAGCAATGAAAAAGACAGTCAGAAGTCCATGCTATCATTAGCATTCATTCAATTGAGAGGAGACAGTCAATAAAGTATTTATGTAAAATATACAAATGGTGGAGAGTTAAATGCTAGGAGGGAAATGAAGAGAATGGGCATATAACATGGTGGAGATGTGGGAGGATGTGGGAGGATATTGATATTTTAAAAAGAGTAGGGAAGACCTCACTCAATGACACTTTAAATAAAAATCTGAAAGGAATCAAGGCACTGTGTGGACATCTTGGGGAGAAAATACACTAGGCAGAGGGAAAAGCAAATGAGGGAGGGGTAGGGTTGGGGTGGATACTTGGCAAGTTTAAGGAACAGCCAAGTGTGGAAGGCTGAGCAGAAAGAATGGGCATAAAGTAAGAGATAAGGAAAAAGAGCTAATGGGAATCACATAATACAGGGCCATAGTAAAGATCATATTTAGGACTTGGACTTTTTTACTCTGAGTGTAACATAAGCCTTCGAGCAGAGAAATGACTTGATGTGATTTACATTTAGCAGGATCACTCTGGCTGCTATGTTGACAACTGACTCAACAGATGCACAGGGAGATGCAGAGAGACCAGAGTTGGAGGCTATCACTACAATCCAGGGGAGAGATGATAGTGGGTCTGGTCAGTGTGACAGCAGCAATGATGGCAGTGAGAAGTGGTTAGAGTTCAGACGCATCTTAAAGGCAGAACTGTTAGCATCCTCTGATAGACCAGAAAGAAACGGGAGTTAGAGGCATTAAGATTCTTCGGCTGAACCCTTAGGAAAAATGAAACTGCCATTTAAGAGCATGTGGTTTATGGGAAAACACCCCAGTTCAGTTCTGGACATGTTATGTTTGAGATGACTGAGAGGTATCTAAGTCGACACGTCAAGTTGGCAGTTAGATACACAAGTCTGGTGTCAGAGAGAAGTCTGGGCTGGAGATATAGTCAGCTTGTGGTCATTATTTTAAGCCATGAGACTGGATGAGATCATACAGTGAGCACAGATGAAAAGTGAAGAGGTCCAAGGACTGAGTCATGGGTCACTGAAAACATGCAGATAAAGGAAAGAAGGAGTTTCATTGATTACTGTAAAGCAGTGAACAGGCTCTAAAGCACTCCCTTTATATTGGGACTCTTAACGCTCCCTTGGCTGAGACTTAGTAAATTACCATAAATACTCAATAAAAATAATGTGTGTTGCCTAATTAAAATAATTTAGAGCACATTCTCGGTAACATTATGGTAAATCTTAGTAATAATAACAATAAATAGTCCTAGAATAGAGAAATCTATCAAAGTGAAGAAATGAAATCTACCATTATAATAATCTAATGACTTTTTTTAAAAAATGGAGACTCTTAGTGAATATAAGTAGGTATAATAATTACACAAAGGCAATCAATACCCATTGGTAAAGACCATAACTGATTCATAAAACATTTTGTGATGCCGTACAGTATCTTAGGTAACTGGTTACCACTTATAAAATAAAAATTTAGGCCCTATTATAGCACTATCTTATTTAGGCCTTACAACAACCCTATGATATAGAAGGCAATTATTATTATTGCTATTCATTCAAAAGACAAAATTCATGCTAGCACTGGTAAAGTGGCTTCCCCAAATGGTGGAATTGGAAGAGTTCAGGAAAGCTGACAGTATCAGTGTGCCTTAAGGCCAGAAGCTTTTTTTAAACATCAAGTTGGGATATAATTTACTAGCGGTCCAACAGGATGCTAAAAGTGCTCTTTGGAACCAACAAGTAAAGTAATATTATTTGAATGAGTAATATTCTACTTTATCAGCCATTATTTCCACTGGAAACCAGCACCACGTAGTTGTGTTGCCTTTTGCATGGTGTGGACTTGAACACAAAACCATGTATTTTATCTATAACTCCTATTGAATTGAACAAACTTTAAAGTCCAAAGAGAAAACTAAATGTACTTTTAATTGTTTTTTTCAATGTTTATTTATTTATTTCTGAGAGAGAGAGAGAGAGAGAGAATGAGAGAGAGAAAACAAGAATTAGTGGGAGACAGAGGATCTGAAGCAGGCTCCGAGCTGTCAGCACAGAGTCCAATGAAGGGCTTGAACTCATGAACTGTGAGATCATGACCTGAGCCAAAGTCAGCCACTTAAATGACTGAGCCATCCAGGTGCCCTTTAGTTGGTTTTAATTCAGTAAGTATTCATTGGAAACCTACTATGTGTGCAAGGCTGCCAAACATTTGCATACGGGGTTGAGGTAATCTGAGGTTCTTTCTGTTTCTGTGAATGTGCAACAAAATGTGACGAAGTCTCTGAGACTGTAGGCATATGAAAACGCTAAGAAATGATCACTGCCTTATGTACACACTAGAAGACTTTCTTCTTTGGGTGTTCAAAGACAGAAACTTCCAAAAGGTGGATATTTCTTTCTTTTTTTTTTTTTAAGTTTATTCATTTTGAGAGAAAGAGGGAGAGAGAGAGAAAGAGAGAGAGAATGCATGCAGGGGGAAGGGGCAGGGATTCAAAAAAGGTGAACACACCTTAAAATCCATGTTACGTTAATAGCTGCAGGATAATTTCCTTCCTGAAGTAGTATTTGAAATTATGTATTTGGTTTCTACCAACCAGTGTAGTCACTGCCAACAATTCATCTTCCAAAAATAGGATGGGAGCGATGTAAGGGACTGCTGCAGGAATGTCTTAAGGATTTTCGGGTAATTCCCTGTCATTTCTATTTTTAGTTGTACAAACATTAGATTTAAATTGTACCTATACAAATATGTAATGTGTGTCCCATCCCTGAATCTATATTAAAGCAAAAAGTAACAGCAACAACAAGAACAAAACCCACAATGAAAACAAGAGAATGCAACTAGAAGACTTACAAAACTTTTAATCATGCCCTATTTAAACACTGTGTTCTCCTACTGTTAAGATTGCTAATCCTCAGTAGGTCACATCCCGGGCTTTTTCAGGTAAATGATTTTCTACTATGATGCTACGACAGGGTAGACAACCAAAGTTCTAGGGACCAGAAAGTGGAGGCTTTAGATGATAAACTAAGGAACTCAAACTTTATTCAGGTTCTTGAGTGTCTTTGAAGAATCTTGCTTACAATATGTCAAGTCCAGAGCTGTGTTTTAGAAACATTAATCTGAAGGTGAAAGAAGTAGGCAGACAGAACAGAAGCAGGGGACACTATTAACAGTCCGCTTGAAAGTTCTCAGAGGTGGCCTTCAAGCAAATTAGTAGCTGTATCTTTGTCAGACTAGAGAGCAACAGGAATAATCCTGTGGTTAAGAAAAAGTCTTGGTGGTAAAGGAAACAGAGATTTCTCATTGAAATTACATGTCCATTATGGGAAAAATTCCAGTGCTGGTAGTGGCATAAGAGCTTGAATCAGATGAACCTCCTATAAATAACACTTACAAACTGTCCATGGAAGGAGAGAAAGAAAGATTTAAAGGCACTGGGAGCAACCAAAAGCAAGCAGATACTGGAAGAAAATGGACTTTTGAAAAAAAGAGAATGACCATAGACATGATTCACCTTTGAGTTATTCTTTCCTTGAGAGCCTATGTTCTACCCAGTGCAGGGTAGATAGAAACTAAGCAAAATCCTGAGTTTTAATGGCTTGAGAAGGCAGAGAACAAACTTGGGGACTGCTAGAACAGCTAGAAGTTGAATAAAGTTATTCTGGAAAGATGAGTTATCATGGGGGGTGGGGAGTGGAGGAGATAAAATGTACATATTAACTCTCCAGATTTTTGGCTGATCCCTAAACTGAACATGAAACTCCAAAGAGTCCAAGGGTGAAAGAATTTAAAGTTGAAAGAGCTGAACAGATTATTTTGGCTGCTGCCCACCACAAAAAGTCTGAATCCCACTGTATCAGAACTCACTAAATACCTCAGGCTTTCCATTGAAATACTAGAAGGCCCCTGCCTTAGGAGGAAATACTGTATTCCAGGGTTGAGCAT